GAAATCAGATTGGTAATTTTAATAATTTCTGGTTAGGAGTCTAGATGAATTATAGAGTACAGAGTATTTCTACCATTCTATGTTTTCTGGTATTAAAAAGATTTAAATAATTTTTAAAAACAAATTTGTTATTTTAACTAAACTTTTAATTTTTGCTTACTGTTGTGGGCTAATTCTTACATCCCCATTTTGGCTTTCATTTAGGCCCACTGGACATGAACCTGTCAAAATTTATGAAACATATACTACTACATATGCAAAGCTCTAAGCCTAAGGAATTTACCGACCATTTTAATACTCTTTTAAATACCCTCTAATACCCTCCTAATAATTACGAGGTGTTTACCAGACAGAAGTCGTTCAGAACACGTTTTTCACATAAACCAGCTTAAAACCTGCAATGTTTCTACTAGTGAATCAGTTCTGATTTAAACGTTTTGTGTTGAAGTCTCTCTGAACAGCTCACAGATACTGAACAATACAGACAGCCTCCTGTTTGTTTTTCAAATATTAAAGTAAGCCAGATGTTGACATGACTTAACCAACTTTGGTATACAGTCAGAGATGTGCCTCGGCTGTGTACCTTGGGTTTTCCCGATGTGGATGCGAGTAATGCGTTACCTATTAAACAGCGGCCATACCGTGCTAGACCTTCCCATAAGGTATTATCTGATACACTATAGCGTATTTCCTGTTATTAATGTCTTCTCCTTAAGTTTTTGTCCCAGTCTCGTGCGAATTACTGTATCGAATACCTTCGTGCCGGTTCAACAATTTGCTATTAGTATTATTTTTTTTTATATTATTAACACATCGGCTGTTTCCCACCAAGGCAGGGTGCCCGAAAAAGAAAACCTTTCACCATCATTCACTCTATCACTGTCTTGCCAGAGACGCGCTTACACTACAGTTATAAAACTGCAACATTAACACCCGTCCTTCAGAGTGCAGGCACTGTACTTCCCATCTCCAGGACTCAAGTCCGGCCTGCCGGTTTCCCTGAATCCCTTCATAAATGTTACTTTGCTCACACTCCAACAGCACGTCAAGTATTAAAAACCATTTGTCTCCATTCACTCCTATCAAATACGCTCACGCATTCCTGCTGGAAGTCCAAGCCCCTCGCACACAAAACCTCCTTTACCCCATCCCTCCAACCTTTCTTAGGCCGACCCCTACCCCGCCTTCCTTCCACTACAGACTGATACACTCTCGAAGTCATTCTGTTTCGTTCCATTCTCTCTACATGTCCGAACCACCTCAACAACCCTTCCTCAGCCCTCTGGATAATAGCTTTAGTAATCCCACACCTCCTCCTAATTTCCAGACTACGAATTCTCTGCATTATATTCACACCACTCGTTATTATTATTATTATTATTTTTATTATTATTTTATTATTATTAATTATTTTTTTTTTAAAAATTATTATATTATTATAATTATTATTTTTATTATTATTTTATTATTATTTTTATTATTTTATTATGGGGGGCACAAAAACCCCTAGGGATTGTACAGACGGGTTAAACAAAGATTAGTATATATTAAATCAGGGGGGAAGCACAAACCGTATATTATACAGCGCAGTGGGGGGATGGGGCATTCGGGCCAGTTCAGGGAATGGGCACAACCCAAATTTTCCCTTTTCAAGACCCCTCACCAGGGTAAAGGGAACCTCCATTGACGGGGGTTAAACATGAACTAGCCATCCCCCCCCCCTCCCCCCCCTCTCCCTTTTTCTTCCCAAAACAATTTTAGCTATGTAGTGTGCGCGCTGTCGGCATGTGCGTCGGTGCGTATTTGTGTGCTGTTGTGTGTGTCGATTCTGGCTTCCCCAAAATTTCCCCCTTTACCCTACTCCCTCCACCCTTCCATACTCCCTGCTTCTTGCCAAAATTTCCCCCCCCAGGGCTTAATTTAGGGGAAAATACCCATACGGTTGGCTTGAGGGGGGGAAAAATAATATACGTTTTTTTCCTTTTTTCTTCTCGTCCTTTCGTTTTTTTCCTCCCCGAATCTTTTTGCTCGTTCATTTTCCTGCGCCTTTTTACCATTCTCCACGTGCCCTCCCCCTCCCAATACCCCCCCCCTCCATCGGATCCCCCCCTCCCAATACTCCCCCTCCCAATACTCCCCTCCCCTCCATCGTGACCTCCCCCTCCCAATACTCCCCCTCCTCCATCGGACCTCCCCCCCCAATACTCCTCCCCTCCACCCGTGACTCCCCCTCCCAATACCTCCTCCTCCTCCACGTGACCTCTCCCCCCCAAATACTCCTCCTCCCCCCCATCATGACCTCTCCCTCCCTTTTCCCCTCCTCCCCTCCCCCTCCATCGTGTCCCCCCCTCCCAATACTCTTCTTCCTCCTCCATCGTGACCTCCCCCTCCCAATACTCCTCCTCCTCCCCCAAACAGCAGTAATGCTCGAAGTAACACTGAACAGGACAACGTCAGACAAGGAGTCAAGAACAAAACTCTAACTGTGGACCTTCAGATCCTAAAGAAAAGGTATGAAACTCCAATATTATTGAAACTACAACAGTGCGCAGATGCCAAAATAATGTACGAGAGTCGAACTCGGGACCAGAGATATAGAGAATCTCTCCATGACACGCAACTTCTGAAAATGTCAAATATCACTATGTCTAAACAATGCTCGGCTCACGAACGGAGACATACTCTTCCAAAAACTGTCTAAATAACACGAACTGAGAACAGTATTCTCCCACACAGAGCAGAGATAGAAGGTATATCCTCCACGAGGAGCAGCCGGAGAGAGAGAAAAGGGCCGGCAGATACATCGTCTGGTGACTCGTACCAGCTTAACCCTGGCATGAACTGTGAAAGAAGAGAGCAGGTAGTTTGCAGAGTGCTGGCAGCCAATCAGAACTCTCCTTCATAATTATTATTATAATGGGGAATGCTAAACCCGTAGGATTATGCAGCGCATGTGGGGGGGGGATAATGGAAGGTATTCAGACTCAGTTCAGGGAACAGGAGCACAGATCCAATTCCCTAGATCAAAAGACCCTCACCAGCGTCAAGGAACCTTCCGTGAGGACAAATAATAATATAAAGAATGAATATTTTTGTTCTAACTATTAACGAAAAACATCAGTAACATTATATGAGACGAAAAAGCAATATATACAATCATTATGGCTTCCTTGTCTCTGAGGTTGATACACCTCACATGCGTCTCCACACCGAGTCCCGTAGCTCGGTTGGTAGCGCACACAGCTCACACACTGAGCGTCCGTGGTTCGATCCCCATTACAAGTGAAAACAATGGGCGTGTTTCCTTACACCTGCTGTCCCTGTTCACCTACCAGCAAGTAGGTACCTGGATGTTAGTCGACTGGTGTGGGTCGCATCCTGAGGGGGTGGTAGTATACCTCAGACAGGGCCGAGATTTTGAAATGAGCTGATGTAGGATAACTCTTATCCTGTAAAATTGATTTGTGTAAAAAGGAAAAAAATGTTAGGCAGGCCAGCTTCCCCTCTCCCCTCAACTCCCACCCTCACCTAAACGTGGACAGACCAGCTTCTCTTTTCCCCTCAAAACCCTTCTAAACCTAGACAGGCCAGCTTCCCCTCTCCTCTCAAACCTCCCCCCCCCTAAACCTAGACAGGCCAGCTTCCCCTCTCCTCTCAAACCCCCCCCCCCAAAACCTAGACCAGGCCAGCTTCCCCTCTCCTCTCAAACCTCCCCCCCCTAAACCTAGACAGGCCAGCTTCCCCTCTCCTCTCAAACCTCCCCCCCCTAAACCTAGACAGGCCAGCTTCCCCCTCTCCTCTCAAACCTCCCCCCCCTAAACCTAGACAGGCCACTTCCCTCTCCTCTCAAACTCCCCCCCCTAAACCTAGACGGGGCCAGCTTCCCCTTCCTCTCAAACCCCCCCCCCCTAAACCTAAAACAGGCCAGTTCCCCCTCCCCTCTCAACCTCCAAACCTCCCCCCCCCCCCTAAACCTAGACAGGCCAGCTTCCCCCCCTCCGCCTACACAACAGTATATCTAAAATACTGAGCTAAACTTGGCCTCGCGCCACACCTACCAACCCCACACTCTTACGGGAACCTCTCCCCTCACTACACACCTGCTACCCCTCCCCTCACTACACATCTGCTCTCTCCCCCCCCCTCACTACACATCTGTCTCACCCCTCTCCCCTCACTACACCCTGTCTCCCCTCCCCCTCACTACACCCTAGTCCCAAACTCCCCTCACTACACCCCTGTCTCATCCTTCCCTCACTACACACCTGCCCCTAAACCCTCCCTCACTACCCCTTTCCCCCTCTCCCCCCCTTACACCCTAGTCCCAAACTCCATTTTCCCCTCACAATATACATCCCCCCTCCTCCCCCCTCACTGCACATGTCTCCCCTCACCTTCCCTCACTATACACCTTTCCCTACACATCTCTCCCCTCTGCTCCTCTCAACACATCTCTCCCCTCCCACTCTACACCCCCCACTGCATGATGGTGGCGCCGTCTCGTTGCTTCTGGTCTGAAACAGCAAAAATGTGTTTGATGTTATTAACTTGGTTCTCCGGAGTAAGGGGCGTTGAGGTCGAGTGTAGGGGCGTGTGAGGGAGGGTGGGGGTGTGTTGTGGAGGGTGGGAGCGTGTGGGGGAAGGTGGGGGAGTGAGGGAGAGGGTGAGGTTGTGGCGTGTGTGCCTAATACATAATAGAATATATATATATATATATATATATATATATATATATATATATATATATATATATATATATATATATATATATATATATTCAACCTTGATATTTACATTTACGCAATGTTTAATTGTTTCATTCTTATGTCATTTTGACAATTTAGAAATTTCAGTTTTCCGAATTAAAATTTAAAAAAAACGAAATTTTCACATGTTAAAAATATATTTTATTACGAGACATTCAAAACATCTGCTTATATTTCAGTGTTTTTCTTCGCCCTCTTCGTGCACACCTGAGTTTAATTACGGTCGATCCCCAGGTGCTATGTTTACCTTGGATCAGCGGGAGGGACCGACGGAGCTGGCCTTCAAGTACGCCGTCTACCGCATCAACAAAGACTCCAGCCTCCTGGCCAACACCTCCCTGGTGTACGACATTCAGTACGTGCCCAGAGACGATTCCTTCCACGCCTCCAAGAAGGGTGAGTAGAGGCAGAGGGATGGTGAGAGGTATAAAAAGGAGGGGGTAGAGTGAGATGAAGGGAAAGGATGGCTGAGATGAGGAAACAGAAGATTAAGGACCCCTGGATAAGTGATAGGATCTTTGTCGTCCTAAGTATCTCTGTTGTCAATCAAATACAGAGGTGACAAAGGGGAGGAGGAGGAGGAGTGAGGTGACGGGGAGAACAGGAATGAAGAGGGTTGAGGGAAAAGAATAGGATGGGTGGTGATAGACAACGAGGAACTAGGTAATAGAAGAGAGAGTGGAATGAACTTGACGAGGATGTAAAGGAGGCAAACTTTTTACGTAGTTCTGAAAGTGGATATTATAAGGCCTCTAGCAGCCCATCTTACCAAACAAAGTCAGTATTTCACTGTGGTTTAGACAGTCTTGTGTGTGACTGTGATGCCGGAGTGAAAATTAACGACCATGTTCTCCAGGATTCAGCATGGTAGGCGAGGAACGCTAGGATGACGTTTCGCACGTAGGTGAGGAACGTTAAGATGACATTTCGCACGTAAGTAAAGAACGCTAGGATGACGCTTCGCACGTAGATGAGGAACGTTAGGATGACATTTCGGTCTCTCCAGTACCATTTTCAGACCACATCTGTGGAATTGTCTATTTTAATGTTTTCTGTTTGCACCTGTTTGCTTATTTGTATTATTATGTTATCATCGGTAAAAGTTCGCTTATAGGTAGCGTCTAACTTAACCAAACCTAAGTAAATCTAATCGTACCTACCCAAAGTAGGGTACATCTAGAAATGTATTAAAAATCGTTTATTAGACGTCGATTGTTGCTGTAGGAGAGTAAAACATGTGCTGAATCTGGGAATCTTGATTCCTTTGAAGCCAACCAGGGCCTTAAACGAATCAGTACAGAGGTTATTTAAAGGTCTTGAAACTGGAGACAGTAGCAAAGAGGTCTTCACCATATTACTCTTGTTAAATCTAGTTTAACCACAACTCATACTTTCTCCAGTTTCAACACTTTCTAATAATTTCTGTTTTGAACTGATAATGCCACTGACTGGAGAAACGTCTTCACAACAGAGACACGCAGGTGTTGCATGTTTGCCATATTCGTCAATTTATCGGTAATGCATATCACTAATGCAATGATATAGGAAAGTAATGCAACCTAACCTAACCTAACCTAACCTAACCTATCCTAACCTAACCTAACCTAGCCTAACCTAACCTAACCTAACCTAGCCTAACCTAACCTAGCCTAACCTAATCTAACCTGACCTAACCTACTCTAAATTAACCAACCTAATTTAACGTAACGTATCGTAACCTAATCTAACCTAACCAAATCTAACCTAACCTAACCTAACCTAACCTAACCTAACATAACATAACATAACATAACATAACATAACATAACATAACCTAACATAATATAACCTAACATAACCTAACCTAACCTAACCTAACCTAACATAACCTAACCTAACCTAACCTAACCTAACCTAACCTAACCTAACCTAACATAAACTAACCTAACCTAACCTAACCTAACCTAACCTAACCTAATCTAACATAACCTAATCTAACCTAACCTAGCCGGACTGAAACCAATAATATTTCTCAAGTAATATTAATGGTGGGGGAAGAACCAAGATTCGTCCCACAAACACAATCAGTAAATACAAATCGGCAGGTACAAATCAGACAAATCGGGGAAAAAAGGGCTGAGCACTACCAACATTTTTTGACGGTTAAAAAAATCACGAAAAAAGGAAATGGTGGCCACGACCATCGTGTTAATTCGGTTATCTCTCTCAGCTGGGAAAGGCAGGATTTGTGTGAAAATGTATTCGTGTTCCTCAAGACAGACTCTTCAAACACCTTCGTGAGGAGACAATCAACTCCGAATTGAATGGCTAAAAGATACCGATAGCTATGGATTAAAAAAAAAAAAGAATTCGCTGCCACCACTGTGGTGTTGACCAATACTGTTACTGCCACCACTGTGGTGTTGACCAATACTGTTACTGCCACCACTGTGGTGTTGACCAATACTGTTACTGCCACCACTGTGGTTTTTGACCAATACTGTTACTGCCACCACTGTGGTGTTGACCAATACCGTTACTGCCACCACTGTGGTGTTGACCAATACTGTTACTGCCACCACTGTGTGTGTTGACCAATACTGTTACTGCCACCACTGTGGTGTTGACCAATACTGTTACTGCCACCACTGTGGTGTTGACCAATACTGCTACTGCCACCACTGTGGTGTTGACCAATACTGTTACTGCCACCACTGTGGTGTTGACCAATACTGTTACTGCCACCACTGTGGTGTTGACCAATACTGTTACTGCCACCACTGTGGTGATGACCAATACTGTTACTGCCACCACTGTGGTGATGATCAATACTGTTACTACCACCACTGTGCTTACTGTCGCCAAGGTTGTCAGTGCAGCTGCAAGAAGAGCCATGTGCACCATCACTTTCCACAGTATTATGAACCTTAGCACCCTCACCGCCACCATTAATAAAATCGCCGGCTTCACTGTAACTATTTTAGGAATTCTTTACCAAAACTGACATCATTAGCCCCACCAACGCCCCATACGCCAACCACCACCTCCCTCTCAACCAAGCACCACCACCACCCCGTCCACCAACCACCACCACCGCCATCAACAAGAACAACCACCACCATAGCCCCTATTACCATTTACAACCATTTTTATAAATCATATCCACCATCCACCACTATCCAACGTAGTACCACTAAACTAACCACCACCACTCACTAACCACATCTTAGATCGTCCACCGCCACGAAGAAGGAAGAACAGAAGGAAGGAAGGAAGTTAAGAGGGCAAGAATGATGACAAGTAGCCCAAACTCTGGTAATTTTCTGTGTGCCTATAGTAGCAAGTCGTCCTGTAAACAAGTTTAGAACTCAGAGTTACTCAAACCGAGAAATAAAATATACGCAGATTGAATTTACATGTTAAATTACAGCTGTGGTCCATCACAAAAATAATATATGTACACGATTTACACCAGTGTAAGAACGATGTCAAGCTCAAACTCAAGTCAGTCATTTCTGTGAACAGAACTAAGATATGTAACCTGTGTGAGCCAGCCGATGGCTTGAGAGGGTCTGCCTAGCTAAAGTGCTCCACAGCCTCAGTCAGCCAATTCTCATTCTGGTATATGAGAATACTTCAGTCCCTCTGGTTAATTTAACTAGTAGGGTGCTCTCACTTTGGAGAGTTCTGTCAGGCCGTGCTGTCAGCTGACTGTAATGCATTGTAGGGTCATGGTTTTGTATGCAGTATGTCGAATACCGAATGAATGCTGCAGAGCCTTCATCACCCGTCAATGGGCATGCCGCAGGGAGGAATGATGAACAGAAGGAATTAAAAAGAAAGAAATGAAGACAATAAGAGGAAATAATAGATGGAAAGGAAAGAAGGAACGAAGGAAAAATTAAAAAAGGAATATGAAGTAAGAGGAAGAAGGTAGGGAGGAAAAACGAAGAAGATGAAAACCTTTCCCACCTTCTAAATCCTAACCCCAAGAGAAGAAAAATGACCTTATAATCGAAGCCATTTGTCGATGTGTTTGTTGACATTAAGAGTTGAGCGGCTCGATTACTCCCGCCCTTAATGCCTTTAACTATTCAAATGTTTCTCGTTTAATCGCGCCTTCGTGTCGCTGATGGCAACCTGGTGATGGGACAGCACCCACTAAATTCAATTTGCTCTTCTTGATTCGGACGAAATTGAGTTTTCCGAGTGTCATTAAGGTGTTTTTGAGTAGTTTAGATTGAGGAAGGAAACTGTTTATTGGGGATTTTGGGGGGGGGGGCCTTTACCCTTGTAAGATTTGGTGTGTGTGTGTGTGTGTTTGTGTGTGTTTACCCATTTCCACTCACCTAACTTAGTTGCAGATGTTGAATTTAAGCTCTTGGCCCTACATCTTAAAGGTTTTACTTCTTGCTAGCCTCGTCAGCTCTGTCATATATAAAACCAAAGCTATGTACAGTATGTACACTTCCTTCACCACTTCTTTATCCAGGTTATTCCTCTTCCTTCCTGATGCTGAAAAAATACTTCCTGATATCCCCAGTTACGTATCTGTCTTTAACTTCTACCTGCGCCCTCGTGAACCTGGTTTCCACCTCAGGAACATTATCCCTGTCCTGGTGCTGTGTAGCGCCAACTAATTCAGAACGAATGAGCACATACAGACGACCAGGAGGTATTATATGAAGCATCAGGATAGTAGACAAGAGGGAAAAGCACTAGGTGCTTAAGGCATTTCGGTATGAAATTAAAATCGTCTTCAGATGCTAAGCCATTTAATGAATTTCCAAGGAATTAGTTTGGAAATTCAGAGAATATAAGGAGGATATGATGCATGTTTCATGGAGACACGAGAGAGAGAGAGAAAGAGAGAGAGAGAGAGAGAAAGAGAGAGAGAGAGAGAGAGAGAGAGAGAGAGAGAGAGAGAGAGAGAGAGAGAGAGAGAGAGAGAGAGAGAGAGAGAGAGAGAGAGAGAGAGAGCACAGATAACAGGGAATTTTCACAATAGGCTTAGCAGGTGAAACGAGAGAGAACACTTCAATTACCTTTCACCAATATAATTCGTGGTTCCATTTAAGACGATAATTGCCTCCCAAGATTAACACAGTCCTGAGAGGAAAATTAGGGTAATTATTTTTTCTTCGATTACATTTTAAACAGATTACGTTGATCAGACAGAAGTCAGAGCGGCTACCATTCTTTAATTAATTTATTTAAATGACTCCAATTACTAACGAACGGATGTTTAAGTTACCCTTCAAGGGGGCTCTTGTCATATTGTTGATGGGCTCTCGATCCAAGAAATTGGAGCTACATTCCCCATCCTTCGATAAAAACTAGCTGTACCCCCATTATCCAAGTGTTGTACGACCCCTGCTGGTTTAGCGTTTCCCCGTGATGATAATAACATACTCGAA